AAAAGTTGGCACTGCGCATGCGCAAAGCCAAATTTTGAAACTGGCGTTTGATTTTCCTTTATCCAAAGTGCCTATGTATCAAATTTCGTTTAAATTCTTCCATAAATAAAAAAGTTGGCACTGCGCATGCGCAAAACCAAATTTTGAAATTGGCGTTTGATTTTCCTTTATCCCAAGTGCCTATGTATAAAATTTCGTTTAAATTCTTCCATAAATAAAAAAGTTGGCACTGCGCATGCGCAAAACCAAATTTTGAAATTGGCGTTTGATTTTCCTTTATCCCAAGTGGCTATGTATCAAATTTCGTTTAAATTCTTCCATAAATAAAAAAGTTGGCACTGCGCATGCGCAAAACCAAATTTTGANACTGCGCATGCGCAAACCTAAATTTTAAAACTAATGTTAGATTTTCCTTTGTTCCAAGCGCCTAAGTATCAAATTTCACTTAAATGGTTCCATAGATAAAAAAGTTGGCACTGCTCATGCGCAAAATAAAATTTTGAAACTGGCGCTAGATTTTCCTTTATTCCAAGTGCCTATGTATCACATTTCATTAAAATTCTTCCATAAATAAAAAAGTTGGCACTGCGCATGCGCAAAACCAAATTTTGAAATTGGCGTTTGATTTTCCTTTATCCCAATTGCCTATGTATCAAATTTCGTTTAAATTCTTCCATAAATAAAAAAGTTGGCACTGCGCATGCGCAAAACCAAATTTTGAAATTGGCGTTTGATTTTCCTTTATTTGAAGTGCCTATGTATCAAAATTTCGTTTAAATTCTTCCATAAATAAAAAAGTTGGCACTGCGCATGCGCAAAACCAAATTTTGAAACTGGCGTTTGATTTTCCTTTATCCCAAGTGCCTATGTATTAAATTTCGTGTAAATTCTTCCACAAATAAAAAGTTGCCACTGCGCATGCGCAAAACCAAATTTTGAAATTGGCGTTTGATTCAACTTTTGGCATTGCGTATTATATGGCTAAAGCTATGCCCATATTGAATTTCATGCAATTCAGTTCATAACTAACGGAGATGTAAAAGCGATCGAACATTTCTAAACAAAGTTATCGCTCACACGGACAGATAGATGGACAGACAGACAAAGGAACAGACGGACAGACCAACAGGCAGACGACAGATAGCAATGCAAAATTATAAACGATCTCTAGGATCGTTAATAAACGGCAAAAGTGTAAAATTATGAACATGTAAAAAACGGTTTTTTGTTTTTTTTACAATAACTTTTTTTGTAAGCGGTACAGAAAAAATTCCTTCCTTGGTACAAGACTCGACACCATAACGAACCAAATAGCGAAAAAAGTAGAACAATAGCTCTTAAGATAAAGAACTAGTAGCGTCGCAAAACGAGCGGACGGACGGACAAAGTGGCCACAATAGCGCGTTTTTAGCGCATTTTTGCAAAAATTTTTTTTTGTAAAAAGTAGCTTTTAATCTCACTTTGGCTGGCTGGCTGGCTGGCTGGCTGGCTGGCTGGCTGGCAGTAAATGCACGCCCGTAGAAAAACGCTTGTAAAAAGACAAGGAGTGTACATGTAACTATCGGGGCCGTGTAATTAAGAACGTTAGGGATGGGGCTACAAGATTTGGAGTCGACGACATCTGGACGCCATCCCCGAGCGTATTATACTAACCTGGAGATTTTTCAGTTTTTATCTATCTTCTTCTACAGTTTTTCTCCGATTGTTTTCAAATTGGTGTCGTCGGGAAGATCTTGTCAACGCGCACAACTCCTGCGTGGCGGAATTTTGTTTTTGTTTCCTAGGGGCGAAATAAACCACCTTTTGCGCGGCGCGCTTCGAGGGGTAGTCGACTTTGGGCGCCCAAAAGTTTCTTACAGCGCGAATCGCGGTCTCTCTTTCTCGTGTCACTAATAGAAGGTCGAGCTATGTGAAGTACCCAAAAGTTGAATACGATTTTATGCCGGGATTTTAGCGAAATCTACCAAAATGGGAATTACGAATGAACGGGACGTCGGAACTGTGTATCGACAAAGGGAATGTGGTAACCCCCGACGAGATCTTACTGATGGTGGAGTCAAAACTTCAAACGCGAATTGCGAGTGCACGGTAAGTGAGAAAATGGTACCGACAAAGTGAACGTGGTAGCTTTCGGCAAGATCTTATTGATGGTGGAGTCAATATTGGCTAATAAAACACTGATCTGCCACACAAAAATGCGCTGAAGTCCCTTCGATCTCACACGAGGACTTTGATAATTTTTTTTTTTGTGGAAATGCGCTAAAAAGGGGACAAAATAACGTACCTACGTAAAAGTAATTTCCTTATAACGATACATTATATTAGTGCATAATAATGGGACAAAATTTTGGCAAATTTATATAATAAGGGTTGTGACGTAAGTTGTGACCCCAATATAGATTGGATACTAGTGGATGGAACGCAGTAGTACAAATTTAATGCAAAATGAGTACAAAATCAAGGGTCAAGAATGTTATGAATGTACATATATGCACGAGATAGTAACGTTAACATATATTTGATCCTAGCTGTCAAAAAGTACTGGTACAAAATTAGTTACTTTACAAATTAGAACAAAATTAGTACAAAATTATGGCGCGAAAATTTGCATGGGTTTGTATACTCGGGGTTGAACCGTTAAGTTGCACCTCCATAATTAATTTGATAGTGGCGGTTAATAATGGTACAAAATTTTTTGCTTACCGTACAAAGGAGTACAAAATGAGTACAAAATTATGGGCCATGCATTTATAGAAATCTGTATACTTGGGGTTGTGGCATTAAGTTGCAAGCCCAATGTAGATTTGGTTCTATAATAGTGATCAAAAGCATGGCCTAATAAGCCATGGTTAAAAGGTAGTGGTACAAAACTTATTATTTACGGTACAATTTAGTACAAAATGAGTACAAAATTATGGCACAAACGTTTTTAAGAATCTGAATATTTGGGGTGGTGGCGTTTAGTTGCAACCCCAATGTAGATTTGGTCCTATCGATTAAAATGTAGTGGTACAAAATTTGGTATCCGTGGTACAAATAAATACACAATTAGTATAAAATAACGGTATTAATAGATTTGCTATTCTTTTTAGTGAGGGTTGCAACTGAAGCCTATGTAGCTCAAACTAAAAAAGTAAAAACCCTCCAAGAAGTCTACTTGAGATGAGTACTTTTATTAGAGGCGCAAAGAGCTTAGTACAAATGTTTCCTTACTTGAATATTGCCGTTAGAATGGTTTTGTGCACTTTTGCAACAAACTGCCCCGTATTAAAACGAAGTTTGACTTACTTACTATCTAGCATGTCTCACACTATCTTATGTATTTAAGCTGAGTTGTGTAAAAAATTAGATTTTGAGTTACTACTGCAATGCAAACGTTTGCAGAAAAAAAGGTAGAAAAAAATCATTTGCATTGTAATGATTAAAAGATTTTGTTTGCTTAGTTAAAATTTTGAATGCAGTATTTTTTGCCAAAAAATGTTATTTTAAAACCAAATTGATAAATAAAAATATATTTTTAGGTGGTGTAAAAGTATAATATTGTTTGTACTGTGTGTGGAAGTGACCTAATAAAATTAATTAAAAAATTAGCTCGTTTATTCTTAAATTATTTATTCAATTTTTGGGCGGCAAATTCTTATTGGCCTAGGGGAGCAAAAATCTTTAATCCGGCCCTGGTTTAACCAGGATAAAGGGGTGGTCATTCAGTTAGGTTATTTGTGGATCGATAACCGGGTCGGTAGTTAAAAGAAATCAACGTGTAACTGAAAGGAGTTGTTTTTTCGAATTATGCAATATATAGGGGGAATGTGAGATTAGATTTCATATATTCGCTATCTTCATAGTTATCCATGCAATCTCTCAACATTATGATATAAGTATAATAGAATGCTTATCAAAGAAAACATTTTAGAAATGATAAACTCAACCAAAAATTGGTTAATGCGAGAAACTGCCGTCAATCACAGTTCTTACCATTTCCCAAAGGGCCATTATGGTCTACGGGCTAGGGCGCAATCGCCACGTGCCCACTCCCGCCCTAGTTCGCCTCTGGTCAGGGCAATATGAAGTTTTTACAGACAGTTTAAAACTTGTTTTTTTAACAATTAATAAGGGGAAACAAACGGTAGTTTTGTAGAAACTTACAAAATTCCGTTTGAACTAACGACTCCTTTCCATGAAATGTCACTGGAAATTTGAAGCAAGTACGTAAGTACGTATGAAAACTAACGAAAAACAGCAGGATACATTGACGTGCAAGCTTTACGGATTGGCCGGGTTAATTACCCCTTATGACGTCTGTGGATAATTTAATATATAAGTTCTAGAGGATACTTCAAGTATATGGTAATCCCTTTTGCAATTTCTTTCATGATTTCAACTTCATTAGCTACTAAATAAATTAAATTGGAATAGCGGGGTAACTAAGTATGTATAATAAATGCGCACCTTGCGTTATCAATGCTATCATACAGGAACCGGCAATTGTTTCGTCAGAAATTTAGTCTGATAAAACAATTTTCTTTCCTAATTCCATAGCAAATAAACAATTTTTTAAATATATAATTATTAATTACTCCAACTGATTAATTTCACAATGAATTTGTAATTATAGGTAATTATTATTTCTGCAATCGCTTCCCATTGGAAAAAAATTTTCAGCAGGTAGCAGGTTTTTCCCGTTATAATTTGGGTTCTGTGGCCTATTACCGTTTTACATTATTATGTTAGAATGTTTGTTTGGCGATAAGTAGGTAGGTACAGCTAGCAGAAAATGTTTGCCATTGAAAAACGAATTTATGGAAATTATTACGTATATTTGGAATGTGGGCTTTTTTAACGGTACGTAATGATTCAAAAGAAATTAATGCAAAGATTAAGTGTTTGTTATGACATTAATTTACGTGACGCGCGCGTCGCGCCACTATGTCTACAACTCCCGCCGTTAAGCACACGAGCCATGACGTAACGATTAATTTGTTATTTAAAAAATCTTATCAACTACTCGTTTTACAATTGGTAGAAGCTGCTCACTCGTAAAACAGAAAGCATCGCTCCGTTACTGGCCAGTTGAGCAGGTAACATTCATTCATTGTTGCATCAGCAAGTATGGAGCCAACAAGTGTCGTGGTTGAACTTCAAGACATCGTGAATGAAAATGACAAAAAATCCTTGTGGATTTTTGGCTACGGATCCTTATGCTGGAATCCTGGGTTTTCGTTCGAAAAGGCTGTAGCCGGCACCATCCATGGATACTCCAGGAAATTCTGGCAAGGAAACAGTACACACCGAGGAACGGAAGAAAAGGTAAATATTAATATTGTAATAATTTTAATATTTTTAAATACAATACAATCAGTTATCAAGCACGTTTTATCTTAATGCGTGATTGTCATTCGATTATTGGAAAGCAAACTACAGATAATTATGTCTCCAGCTATCGCTTCACTAATTGCAGACATTTCATACCTACCTCATCTCATTAAGGAAATTCATTTTCAAATTTTGTTTAACTCTGGAAAATTCGCCACTAACAATTCTTCAAATTTGAAAACTGACAATTAATAATATTGATAAGGGAAGATTTATAATTGCTGCCAAATTTCCACTCGTTCTTGAATTCTGGCAGATTATAAAAATCGTTAAGAGAACGTGCTGCGAAAACTACGATTTAATACACGTGCACGTTTTGGTTATTTTTAGTTATCTCTAAATAACAGAATAATTTTGCCAAATGATCAGTTAAGCTTTTTGTTACTCATTGATTCTTCTTTCAACGACCGCCTTCCAATTCCAGTCAAAACAAATTTTCAACTTGTGGTTATTATGACAAGATATTTAGTACCGCATCAGACAGAGTTTGTATTTAATTTAATTGGAGATTGACGCAAACGAATATACTTTTTGTGTGGTGGTCCAGCTTTTTTAGTGCACTTTCACTTTAAAAAAATAAAAAGTGCACTTTTGCGCTCTTGGTACCACTTACAGACTTGGTATTGGCATTGTTTAAATACTTTATAAACAATGGTTGTTGGTGTCATTCGATCAGAAATTAAAAATTATTTCATGTTTGCCGGCTTAACGATTTTTTTTTAATTTATCTAATGAACGAACAATCACACGGTGCCAATTCAAATTGGTAGCTACCTTGGTCTTCTATGTGCCCCATAAATTAGTTTTGTTTCAAAAAGAGCAGAAACAAATAATTTATGGATTCTAAAAAAACATCCGCTTCAATCGGAAGGCGTATAAAACTGAAAATAGTTCACCTAAAAAGGAATTAATAAGACTTGTATGTATCGTCTCAACTCGTGGATGAACACTCTGTATACCTTGGCGTTTCGGAGCAGTTTTCACTCCATGCCGAATTTGTTGTCAAAATTCCATGCTCTTCATTGAATTCCTCCATTCTCAGAAGTGCAATTTGAACAGAAAACCATTACCCAATAGCCCAAACCATGCTAAGATGGAAATAATTTTTTTGTTCTATTTATATTTTATATTTCATATTGTATCTTAATGGTGTGGGTAATCAACTGCGCAGCAAGTATATTGCCAAACAGTGGTACTTGTTTAAATAACTTCGCGCATCGTGCCAAACCAATCTGAAAGTGAAGCATTACAATTTGTTCTTTCTCGAACACTTCCTACGTGCACCAGAGTACAATGTCATGGTCATTAATGATATCATCGCATTGTATATGTATACACTTTGAACAGTCAAATAATTAATTATTGGTTCTTTATATCTGATTGGTTGTAAGGTTTGTAATTAGCAACTAAAGTTAAGTTTTTGTTTCAGCCTGGACGCGTAGTTACATTAGTCAAGGAAAAGGGGGTATGTATAATTATGTGTTAAAATGATAAACTTAGCTTTCTTTTTTTTAATTAGAGAAGACATTGCACCTTTTCGGCACTTTCCAAAAAAGGGTTGGGATACTATTTTTACAACAAAAATGTGTATTTAATAAAATGCAGGGTGCTGTTAATTTTTGTAGGCAAATGAGCTTCGTATTGTTTAGAAACAAGTTTTTTAATTCGGCTTTAGTTTTAATTTTACTCGAGGTGCCTACATACAAAATTCCATTTAAGTATCTTAACAAAAACTAAAACTTGGAATGGGCAAATAGAAAAGTGGGTTGAATATTTACTGACACAGAAAACCGGACATTCATATGTTATTTGTAACAACAATTAAAAAAGAAGCCCGTTTTTGGAGGTTTGGGCAGTTTTTGGGCGGTAACTTTCTGGCCCGATAGTCTACGTAGCTGAAGAACAATAGCGATCGAACGTTTCTAAACAAAGTTTTTTATTTTTTTATTTGGCTTTATTTTTGAGTGGACGGGGTTTCAGCCAAGGCTGCTCTACCAACCGAACCCACTATACATTTACAAATATCCATGTCTGAACCCGGATTCGAACCAGGGACCCTTAGCACCACAGTCCAGCTTTAACTGAACTGCGCCACACGGGCCGTTATCGTGCACACGGTCAGATAGCAAACAGCAATACACAATTATAAACGATCTCGAGGGTCGTTAATAATATAAAATTAGTCGCGATGTTTTCAAATAAATAGAATACACATTTTCCACCAGGGAAGCATACGAGCTACATACCTGGACATGACGTAAATATGTGTCTATGGCTAGGCCGTAGACAAGGGGGTTCAATCTATCCCTCAAATCCCACGAAATTTAGAAAAATAGCTGAACATGTCATCAAAAAGCTCGTATTGGTTCAAAAAATGGAATTTTTACCTCTAAAGGGGTCGTTTTCGTGATTTATGAGACGAAGATGTGTCTACTCCACCTATTTGTAACTGATTTCTTTTTTGATATCACGGATCGCTATTTTAGGACATTCCTTATTTTGCATAAAAGCGTTAGATAGGAATCACAAACATCTTATGTGTTGATGATTATTTTATTGCGAAGATCGTCTCATCATCTCCAAATTTTATTTTTGGAGCCATGGGAGTTACGGACAAAGGTGCGATTCGTTACTCCTTCGTCTCATTGTCTATCATTGAATAATGTGGTATTTATTCAATGATTCTATCCAGCCAGTCAGATGCGGGACAATCCGTATTTTTAATTGAAAGTATAATGTCCTCCTTTGGAAACGCATGGGTTGTGGAAGATGACTACCCCCAAAATCTCGTCCAAGAGCCAGCGCTCAATTTTTACACTTTAAATATCATACAATCCATGGTTTTTGCAATGAGGACATAGTACTTTTTTTTAATGACATTCACTGATTCACTTCTTGAGTTGAGGTTGTTAAATCAACTTCCCAACTGTCTCGCTTAGATATTTACCATCTTATTTAGTATTATTTGATCTACTTGCAGTTATCACAGCGTTGTCCAGTATTCATACTCGCCCGTGAAACCTTGGAAACATTGCTGCTTCTTTTCTGGAAAAAATCTGTTCGATCTTATTCATTTTCACTTAAATCCTATACTTTATCCTCGAAGTTACCCGTCTGATGTGCTACCAAGCACTATAATGTAGCGAACATCTAGAAATCTCGATAGACATCGAGGCGCCATGAAACATTAGTCATCGGCGATAAAGAAAAATGACGTGTTTATTCTAGAATATTCCTAAGCGTTCTAAAACAGTATTGTCGTTTGCTATAAAAGCAGGTTAATAGTTGCGTTTCAGCGCTGCGTTCTTGTAATGTTATAAATTGCGAAACTGATAAATTGTGTTTACTATTATAAATTAATCCATTTTAAGACTGTTATAAATTTATTGTTAGTGGTAAATAAATAAAACACGTAATTAAATTTATGTTACAATAATACCCTCTTCTCTTATTGAGAATCTGATTATTAACGAGCTCCTAACGAGTTTATAATTTTGCGGTGTCTGCCCATCTGTCCGTCCGTCCTCTCGTAAACAAATGGAGCGATTACGATGAAATTTTGCAAGTGGATTCTTTATGCAATTTGTAGATCGGAATTCGTTAATTGGCAATGTAGGCCAAAAAATAAAGAAGGCCCTTTTGACATCTCCGTTAGTTATGAACCGAATTGCATGAAATTCAATATGTGCACAGCTTTAGCCATATCAAACGCAATTCTAAAAGTTGGGCCTAATCGATTAGCATTCACAGTGCCCTCTTCGCATCTGGTTTATTATTTATTTATTATTTATTATGAAGGTATTTAAATGAAATTTGATACATACAGCTACTTCGAATAAAAGCAAATTTAATGCCAGTTTCAAAATTTGGTTTTGCGCATGCGCAGTGCCAACTTTCTTAATTATGCAGGGATTTAAATGAAATTTGATACATATCCACTTGGAATAAAAGCACATGTAGCGCCAGTGTCCAAATTTGGTTTTGTGCATGATGTACAGTGCCAACTTTCCTATTTATGGAAGCAATTAAATGATATTTCATGCATTACACTTTAAATAAAAGCAAAACTGCCACCAGGTTCAAAATTTGGTTTTGCACATCCTATAGCCATACCCAGGAGCTTTGTTTACACGTTTATTTTACATCAAAAGCGATTAATCCATTAACAAGCAATCGAAAAAAAATATTAGTACCGGCCCAGCACATCTAGCGCTTATTGTTTAAAATATCAATCGCCCTATAGCGTGCCGTATCTTCTGTCGACCAGATAAAGGTGTTTTGGGTGCACGATCTTTTCCTTCTGAATAGAAAAAAGGATGTTATGAAACGAACTGTGACAAGTTCCAAAAACTACAAAAATGTATACTTCGTAGTTCGTGTGATTCATGGTCATTTCTCAATGCAATACAAGTTCTAATATTGACCACAAATAGCAGACGCAAGATTATCGAATAATCAGACTTTAAAATTCATTTTATTATTTGTTATTAAAAAATATCTAGTAGTAATTTTGAAGATATTTTCAAATTTCGAAATCAAGCATCAAAACCAACAAAAATGTTGGCCACATATTTTCAATAAGAAAATTTTGCCAAGAACCGATAAATCTACTCTCCTTCAAAAAAATGTTTTAGTATAGGCGGTAATCGAGGCCATAGATTAAATAAAAAGGTCGGCATGTAATCGCTTTATTCGTAATGGGATTATCAGTGACGTATAGTATACATAGTCTGGTGAATTATGACTCAAAGGTAAATATTGCATTTTCAAACATCATAAAGTTCAACATATGTCGATATGGTTCACACGAATTAGTAGGTACTCCATTCCGAGTCGGACAATAAATTTATCTGTGGGACCGCGCCCCAATTTCATTAGGCCAGCTTCCCACACTATTTCATCGATGACCAAGAAATGCATTTGATGCATTTTCGGTTACCAAGTCTTTACTTGAACATTACACGATAGCTCCAATTGTACCATTTTCTAGAAAACTCTTAACATTTTCATTTCTGTACTTTCAGAGCGTGGTCCACGGCCTCGCCTTTCAAATATCCGGAGAAGCCGCATTGTCCTATCTGAACAAAAGAGAATGCAAGTTGGGAGGTTACGTTGTAGAGTTTGCAAGATTCTATCCAAGAGCACGTAACATTTCGTTTAATACCATTTTGTATATTGCGACAGCACAAAACGAACTATGGTTAGGTGATGCACCTGCAAGTGATATTGCTGACCAAATTGTGGAATCTTGCGGCGCAAGTGGACACAATGTTGAATATTTAATCAGGCTGGCAGCTTTCATGCATTACCATTTTCCAAACGAAAAAGACGACCATTTGTTTGCGATCGAAAGATTGGTGATAATGAAGCTGAGGGATAGAAAAGCTTGTTTAAAAGCACTGATGGGCGATGAGAGGGAGACAATTACATTTATTAGTAATGCTTCCCTTGATGATCTCCAGCGAGATGGACTCGAAGAGCGACAAAATTCGTTTCAGTATGCGGCAAATGTGCCTGTAAAAATTATGCGTTGTCTTAACATGTGATTTATTTAAGTATAATAGTCATTAAGGTTATTTATTTAACTCGAGTATTTCAATGTGATTCTAGGATGTAATCGATGTATGTGTAATTCAGGCTGCTTCAAAAGATGTATAATGTATAACTAATATAACATTTGGCTCTTTCCACGTGAACGATGTCTGTTCGTTCGAGGCTTAAATGTGTATGCTTTAGTGATTTATTCTAAGTAACAGATTGTATTTTTGTAATTATACTTCATTCTAAAGATATTTTTATACTGTCTACTCTATAATGTAGTATTTGTCATTATAGACTAGATATTGACAACTCATTTTATTATACAATGTGATGGAAACTGGTAAAGTAAATTGTGCGGATCTCTGTGTACCAGTTTCTTGGTAGTTATAAGTACCTAATGGAAAAGTGAGTGAACAAAATGCACAATTATGTGTCACAAAGAAATGTATTACTTAATGCCAAAGAGATTTACTTTCATAATTTTTACTTTAGGACATATTAATATAATAATATTATGCTCGACAAATGAAATAATAAACTCAATGTAACTAAATTAACTTCTCTTAATTAGTATGTTATAGTAACAAGGGGTATCCAACCATGAATCGGCCAGGAGTTTGGGTGCATCCAGGAACGCAACAATTTTTTTCATTTTAGGCAACTTTTGAAAATAGATTTACCGCGTCTTAGTCATGGGAGCTATTACCTACCTATTTAAATCGTAATGCTAAATAAGTATTTAAAGACAATTCATCTAAACTAATTAATTTTGGTACTGTAAAGACCGTCGTCGTTGGGTACAGACGGTCTACATACGTCTTGTCTCAGAGTAAACCAACATGGACCACATGTCTCAAATGCACTGTTCAAAATAGAAAAAAGGGCGATTGTTTGTTCATTTTTACTAATTTGTGTATAGATCTAACAAGAGATCCTCATAGCAAATGAACTCTCCAGCAACAAAATGAGTGCAACTAAACTTTTAGACAGAGCAGATGACACCTCGCTTTGGAGTCTACAAATAAAATCACAAAGTATCATACACCAGCAGGAACGCAACTTAAGCCTCTTCATAAAGACATTGTCCTACAAGTCTTTCCAACCCGATTAAAAATTGACAAAATTATACCATACCAACAGTAAGTTGCATCACTAACGGCCCACGTCGCCCCCAGGTAGCATCAAAACGCACTACTATATTATTCAATCATCCAAAACGGCGTCTATAACGAAAAGCATCAAAAGTGCAGAAAACACGTTCTTGTGAGTGTGTTTAGATTCTACCGCGAATTTTTTTAAGGCGAAATTTCCGTCGTGAAGTCTTTTGGGACCAATTACCACCATGCTCCATGAAATTACCGTAAGACCTCGTTGATTAATTCCTTTCTCTTTGTCATTCCTTCGTTCGGCGCATCCGATCGATGTCCGTCTTGAAAATGATTTATTTTTGTGGCAACAGTTACATCACCTATATAGTCTACAACCAGAAGATTAATCAGGGAATAGACAGATTTGTGGTCAATAAATCCAGTAATATATTTAAAGTTAGCTCAGGCTAACAATATTCCCAACCCTAATAAAACCTACCTCTTAAATGCAAACTTATTGGTGCATGCTACAGTAAAAGAGGCTTTTTTGCTGCCCAGGATAGTAATCTCTACATAAGATTTTTTTTCAAAGGCTAGTTATAGACACTACTTGATTGAGTTGTGTAATAATATTGTCGAAAGATGTAAGGAACAATTTGAATCCTTTATGAACCACTATCCATTACCATTGAATTGGGGTTTTTATCCAATGGTACGTAATAGAAAAAAAACATGAGGAATTGTACTATCAGATAATTATTAACGTGCTCCTAGCGAGTTTATAAATTTGCGGTGTCTGTCCGTCCGTTAGCAGTAGCCCAAAAAATAAGGAAAGCCCTTTTGACATCTCCGTGAGTTATGAACCGAATTGCATGAAATTCAATATGCGTATAGCTTTAGCCATATAAAACGTAATTCCAAAAATTGAGCCCAATCGATCAACATTCACAATGCCCTTCACCCATCTCGACCATTTATAAACCGAATTGCAAACTTTTTTGTTTATGAAGGTGTTTAAATGAAATTTGATACATAGCCACTTGGAATAAAAGCAAATTTAACACCAGTTTCAAAATTTGGTTTTGCGCATGCGCAGTGCCAACTTTCTTATTTATGGAGGCATTCAAATGAAATTTGATACAGAGCAACTTAGAATAAAAGCAAATATAGCGCCATTTTCCAAATTTGGTTTTGTGTAGGATGTGCAGTGCCAAATTTCTTATTTATGGAAGCAATTAAATGAAATTTCATACATATACACTTTAAATAAAAGCTTAACTAACATCAGGTTCAAAATTTGGTTTTGCACATGCTATAGCCATACCCAGGAGCTCGTTTTCTATATTTGTTTAGTTTATTTACTTCAAGTTTTATTTGTGATGCACATTTACTATCTGTAACTTATAACATAGTTACAGTTGACAAAACTTCAATTTTTACTTCTGTCATTTTGACTAACGTCGTGCAATGATCAGCGAAGGAAGTTTTATTCAAACTATTAATGAATCAGGTCAGTTTTCTCTACTTTTACGTATCACACGTGCATTTTAGTTAAATTGCAACAACATGAATCGTTTTTAGGTGAGGGCGTCAAGATCTGCAGGGTTTGCGGGAAGTCTTCCGTTCCTGTATCCGTCGTGACGCCGCAGGACGATTTCTATGTTAAGGCGGAGGAGTGCATGCTTTATGAGGTAATTTTACATATAGTTAGTTGTTCAAATTGAGCTCAATCTTTTTTTATAGCTTACCTCTGCAGGCAAAAGTTTCTCTATTTGTGAGAGGTGTGAATCGTCCCTAACCCAATGTGCAAACGGAATTATCAATCACTTAACACGATCAAATCCTCTCAAAACAAAGAACTGCCGCTGTTGTTTTATGTGTGGCACCAGAAGAGGTTTAACAGAGTGTAAACTTGCTAAGACAGAGACCGACTCTGCAATTTTGGAACACATTAGACATCGATTTGGTTACGTAAGTATAAAGTCTGTGGTTCCACTTCTTTCCAGATCTTATACTTTGTAGAAAAATGAAAATCACAATGTTATCTGCATGGCGTGTAGAGTAGGATTTCTGAAGTTGTACCGAATTCATTCTGCAGTGAGCAAAACAGGGGAAGAACTTAGCGTGAGTATTGTCTTCAATTCATTTATGTCTATAACGACCAAAGTGCAAAAGTATCACTCCTAATAACCCTCCAATAATACAAATTTTGTTTTATAACACTATATATCATTACGATTACTCTGGAGCGATGTAAATAAATGAAACTGGCTTATTGGATTTTGTTAATATTGGGTCATTTTAGTATTGTACAATCACACTTCATGATCTGCAAGTAAGTGATGATCATTCAGCAACAGATATGGAACACGAAACTGGTTCCAATTCAAGAAATAAAGAAAATGCTGGTATCTATTCACCTGAAACCAGTATTACGAAAGAAGTGATAAATAATAGCGCAGTCGGCCCTTGCGAGAAAACGGCTATAGGTAAAAACTCATGGGTGGACGGCAAATTTGATCACTTAACCCCTGCTCTTACTTTAAATAAGGAGGAATTGAATTTTATTGGAGACGAAGCACTTAAGATTCCATGCAAAGGTAGTGGTAATAATCGAATTTGGTAAAGATGTGTAGTAGGTACATTTGACCCATGTTTTAGGTGGAAAGACAATTAAAGCAGCTTTAGCAGAAAACCAGCACCAGGAACATATTGCTGAATGTAGAGAAAACGATTGTAAACGTGACAAGGGTAAGTGTTTTGGATTACTTATGAGACCAGCCTTACTAGAATTATTTATTCAGACAAACCTAAAGTTCCCTACCGTACGTAATTGAGATGTAACAATTCCCCAAAAAGTTTCCTTACAAGGAATGCGCACATAGTCCTTCCATATACCTACCTACCTATGTATTAGCGATTTGGCGAAATTTTCTTGACCGAATATTCCGGGGGCAATACCCGATGCCAAATTTACACGGGAGCGGGTTTTGTAGGGACCAAATTTTCCTTAGCGAATAATACAAAGGCGAATAGTACGAGTGCGAATTTGTTGATGGCGAATTTTTCATGGTAAAGCTTTTTGGGGCCAATTTACAGCACACTCCAAGAAACAACACGTCATACCTCCTTGGTGAATTTCTGTTTCTTTGCAACTTCTTCGTTCGGCGTATCCGATAGATGTCCGTCTTGAAAACGATTTATTTTTGTACCAACAGTTACTTCCCCTATGGTTCGCCTGCAATCAAGCGCCGTAGCTGATCGGAACCTGTCTACCGACAGGGCCCTCAACGCCGCCTGACAATCGCTGCATACGTATATATGCTTATTACGGTAACCTCTACGGAGGTTTTCCTGTGCACAGGTCATGATGGCTAACATTTCTGCCTGAAACACGGTGCTATGCTGACCAAGGGAGACGCTGACGCTGGCTCTCGGTCGATCACCATATATACCCATGCCCGTTCCCCTTTCTGTTTGGAACCCGTCTGTAAACCACACGAGCCCCTCAGGTTTGAGGAACGGGCAATCCGCGTTCGTCCACTGCTCTCTATCCGGGAGAATGACTTTATGACGCTTTGGTCTTAGCAAGATAGCCCGGATCACATCCCTTCTTGCGAGGAGGGGATCGGTTCTGAGGGTTTCCTCCCAGATCCGCCCGTGCCCAAGGCTGCCTCGATCCTTCCATTCGTCCCAATCGTTTAGCCGTATGGAAGCTTTCCGAGCCTCTGCCTCCACAGCTAAGTGTAAAGGCTCTAGTCCCAGAAGTGCCTCCATGGCCAAGGTTGGCGTGGTTTTTAGGGCTCCAGTGACTCCCAGACAGGCGAGTCGCTGGACCTTTCCTAGCTGCTTCCTGTAGGTTACCCTGCGCATGGCAGGCCACCATACAAGTGCACCATACAGTATTATTGGCCTTATCACTGCAGTGTAAAGCCAGTATACCAGTCGAGGGTTCAAGCCCCATGTACAACCAAAAGCCCTTCTACATGCCCATAGACATGCAGTGACCTTTTTGCTTATGCGCTCAATGTGCCCTTTCCAGGTCAGGCGGAAGTCAATGATGACTCCCAGGTATTTCACTGACCTGGTTAGACCCAGTTGACATCCTCGAAGAGCGAGCCCAGCAAGATCCGCTCTCCTTCTATTCGTGAATGAAACAACCTCGGTCTTTTCCGGGTTAACGGAAAGGCCATGGCTACTGCACCACCTATCCACCTGTTCAAGAGCCCCCTGCATGAGCTCTTTCACGGTGTTTGGAAACTTCCCAGTTATGACGATCGCGAGATCGTCCGCGTATCCCTGTGTATACGCTCCCCCCTCGTTCAAGGTGCAGAGGAGCCCGTCTAGTACCAGGCACCACAGCAGTGGAGACAATACCCCACCCTGCGGACATCCTCTAGTAACCGATGAGCTCATCTCCGTCATCCCAATTGAGGATATAATGATTCTGCTTTCGAGCATGGCTCGGATCCATCTTACGATCGACCCATCAATACCAAAGCTCTCAGCAGCCTCACTAATCGAATCGAACGTGGTGTTGTTAAACGCACCCTCGATATCTAAAAACGCTCCCAGAGCTATCCCCCCGGAAGACATTCCCTTTTCCAGCCTGCACACCAGTCTGTGTAGAGCCGTCTCCGTGGACATACCAGCCCTGTAAGCATGTTGGAACGGATGTAGTGGTCTACTAACCAGTACGCCATTCCTTATGTATGCATCCACCAGCTTCTCCACCGTTTTTAGAAGAAACGATGATAGGCTGATGGGCCTATAGTCCTTCGCCACGTCATATTTAGCACGACCCGGCTTAGGTAGGTACACAACTCTTACCTTCCTCCAGCTTTCGGGGATACACCCTAAAGCCAGAGAGGCTCTGAAGAGATGCAACAAGTGTAAGAGCAGCGGATCCAGGCCCGAAGAAGAGCCGGGAATATCCCATCCGGTCCTGCACTCTTAAATGGGCTGAACGTGTTGACCGCCCATCTCATAGATCCCTCGGTAACCAGTGTAACCACACGGGAAGCTACCTTCCAGTTGATCGGCCTTACACCGACCCGAGTAGCTCCTTTTGGTGGGTCCGCAGTTAAGTAGTCTCCAGAGCCTGGAAAGTGTGTTTTGCCCCGGGTCCTTCAAAAGGATTTTACGAAGTTTTTGAACTTCAGGAAGACCTTCCATGTTACCACAGAAAGTTCTCCAAGATCCTCGTTTCGACCTCCGAATATGGTCCTTATACCTGCGCTGGGAGATCTTAAGATCTTCCCAGTCCGCAGGTAACTTAGTTCGCATGGCCCTATTAAAGAGCCTGCGAACCTCCTTGCGAGCCTTTTCAAGGTCTGAGTTCCACCAAGGTGTTCTCTTCTTCCCTCGAAAGGTACGCAGTTTACAGCTGTCCTCATAGGACGCTGTTATGGCGTCGCTTACTAATGCGGCTGCCTGTTCCACCTGCCCTGCTTTCCGACAGAGCAAAGGTGGTCTATCCAACCGGTCCGACAGTTTTGCCACATAGCAGTCCCAGTCAGTGGATCGGGGATTCCGAAACCTACAGGGCCCGCAGTGAAATGCCAGGTTCAGCTGGAAAAGAATGTGCCTGTGGTCCGAAAGCGACGGCTCATCAGACACTCTCCAATTCGTGATCATGTGAGCTATTGAAAAGGAGCCCAGCGTCAGATCAATGACCTCCTGCCTCCGCGCTGTGACGAAGGTAGGGGCTGCTCCCTGATTTAAAACATTCAAATCAGTGGTTTGCAAGTACTCCAGAAGGTGGTCGCCCCTCGAGTTCGTGTCCGTGCTGCCCCACACAACATGGTGTGCGTTTACATCACAGCCAACCACAAGAGGGAGCCCACTACTTCGACAGTNGACTGCATTCAATGCAGCCATAATGCACCTCGACTGAGCCTCAGAGATGTCCACCTCCGGGTATGAAACCAGAACGACCGCCACCTTAAGCCCTGCCGCAGCGACTTGCCCATAAGTTCGTGGTGCACCCTTGGATGCACCAGAACACTAGGCTTCTTCTCAGGCTGCCTTGAGCCAGACCCTGGAGTGCTTCCCTCTGATCTTAGACGCTTAGTCCCTGACGTCGGGTTGCCCCCCTGAGCCAACGACCCAGACGCAGCCTTAGGCTTTGGCGCAGGGTCCGCTTAACCCGAAGTTTTACCCTCGAGCCGCCGCTTCCTGGCCATCGCCTTCTGTACGCCAGTCCTATTCTTCTTGCGAATAGGAGCTGACCCACCACCAGGTCCTTGGGTAAGGCTCTGCGTTGGAGCCGTCCCCTCTTTCGAGGAGCCTGCCCCGTTACCGGACCCCTTTTGAGGCCCCGGCTTGTTGGTCCCATCTGACGAGGAGCCCAGAAAGGTTTTGTGTGAAGATTCCATACAATTCCCACGAATAGTGCGGAGATGCGGTCTCACCTGGGCAGAGCCGCTTGCCCAGGGCTTGGCTGCCAGCTCCTTGCCAAAGAAAAGGAGCCACCACTCGGAGGTCGTCCGGTATCCGAGGGGCACCGTTATCGACACTGCACCCCAGTGCCACGCAGTCCTCGGCACGGTCGCTAACACCTTCACTTGGGAGGTTGGTCCGCGGCGGCGACCTTCGTCGCTACCAGTCTGGGTTTTAGCCCCGACAAGCCACTTATAATCGTCACTACCCACACCGAAGCACGAGTCACGTACTATCATTCAGGTGTCTGTATAGGCTTTCCCCTATCCGCCACACGGGAACGCGCCCGATGGGTGCCTAACTACACGGGTTCAATGGTACATAATAGAACTTGAAGAATCAGTACTTTCATATAATTATTTGTTTCATTTGTGATGTACATTTATTATTTGTAACTTAAAACATAGTTACAGTTGACAAAACGTCAATTTTTACTTCTGTCATTTTGACTAATGTAGTGCAATGATCAGAGAAGGAAGTTTTATTCAAACTATTAATGAATCAGGTCAGTTTTCTTTACTTTTGCGTATCAGACGTGTATTTTAGTTAAATTGCAACAACATGAATCGTTTTTAGGTGAGGGCGTCAAGATCTGCAGGGTTTGCGGGAAGTCTTCCGTTCCACTATCCGTCGTGACGCCGGATGACGATTGCTATGTTAATGCGGAGGAGTGCATGCTTTATGAGGTAATGTTACATATATTTCGTTGTTCAAATTGAGCTCAATCTTTTTTTATAGCTTACCTCTGCAGGGAAAAGTTTCTCTATTTGTGAGACGTGTGAAGCGTCCCTAACCCAATGTGCAAAAGGAATTATCAATCACTTAACACGATCAAATCCACTCAAAACAAAGAACTGCCGCTGTTGCTTCACGTGTGGTACCATAAGAGATTTAACAGACTCAAAACTTGGTAACACAAAAGCGCACTTTGCTATTTTGGAACGTATCAGGCAGCGATTTGGTTACGTAAGTGTAAACTATTCCATTCCACTTAGTTTCCAACGTTATATTTTGTAGAAAAATGAAAATGACAAGGTTATCTGCATGCCGTGTAGAGTAGGACTTCTGAATTTGTACCGAATTCATTCTGCAGTGAGCAAAACAACGGAAAAGCTTAGTGTGAGTAGTATTTTAAATTAATTTATTATGTATTAGAACCGAAGTGTAAAAGTACCAATCCCATTAGCCTCCCAATAATACAAATTTTGTTTCATCATTCTTACGATTACTTTGGAGCGTTGTAAATAAATGAAACAACGTTTAGCCTTGTCTTTAGAGATTCCTCAGGTTGCGCTGTTCCAATTGCGCGCGGTTTATTTTTAGTCCATCATCATAAAGCAAAAAACTGAAACGCGAACAACCTGTTGACCTGTTGGATCTTAAGTTAATACTGGGTACTTTTAGTATTGTACAAATACACCTCACGATCTGCAAGTAAGTGATGCTCATTCAGCAACAAATACGGAACACGAAACCGGTTCCAATGCAAAAAATGAAGGAATTGCGGATATCCATTCACTTGAAACCAGCATTAAGAAAGAAGTGAAATGTACACCAGTGATAAATAATAGCACAGTCACCACTTGCGAGAAAAAGGTTCTAGGTAATAAGTGTAGTAACTCATGGGTGGATGCCAAATTGGAGCACTTAACTCCTGCTCTTATTTTAAATAAGGAGAAATTTAATTCTACTGGAAAGGAAGCATTTAAGATTTCAGACAAAGGTATAGTGGCACTCGGATTTGTTGAAGGTGTGTAGTACAGTAAACCCATGTTTTAGGTGGAAAGACTTTTAAAGCAGCTGAAGCAGAAAACCAGGAGAAGGAGCGTGTGACTAAATGTGCAGAAAACGACTGTGAACATGACAAAAGTAAGTTTTTTGGCTTATTCTTGAGACCAACCTTTCTAGAGTTATTTATTCACACAAACCTACCAAATTTATTGACGTCAATACGAATGGGGTCACTTGGTCAGTTCGTATCCAATTTTGTATGGCATAATTCAAATCAATCCTCCAAGAAAGTTGCCTAAAAAGGATGGTGCACTTGGTACCTAATTCCTTCCATGTAAGGAATTTAGAAAGCAACCTTGAGCGAATTTTCCGGGGTCGAATACACGGTGCCAAATTTACATGGGAACGGGATTTTTAGGGGCGAAATTTCTTTCAGCGAAAATTACAAAGGCGAATAATACGAGGGCGAGTTTTTTGAAGACGAATTTTCCGTGGTAAAGCCTTTTGGGCCAAATTTACAGCATACTTCTTAGTGAATCTCTTTTTCTTTGTAATTCCTGCGTTCGGAGTGTCCGATCAAAATCCGTCTTGAAAACAATTTATTTTTGTGCCAACAGTTAGATCACATATAGTCCAGAACCTGAAGATTCATCAGGGAATAGACTGATTTGATGTGAATAATTCACGCAAGATATGTAAAATTATAGCTCAGGTTAATAATATTCTCAACCCTAGCAAAACCATCCCTTAAATTCAAGCTCATTTGTGCATCCTATAGTTTAAGCATTCTTTGCTGCTCCAGCAGTGATCCCTAGATATTTTTCCTTCAATGGCTAATTGGAGTAATTAACTTGGGTAATACATTGTCAAGAGATGTAAGGGAAAATTTGTATCGTTTAAGTATGAACCACTACACGAGGTGTTAATTCAGTGGTATTACAACAAGATGGTGAGGAACCAGTACTTTCATATAATTAATTGCTTTAAGTTTTATTTGTGCTGTACATTTATTATCAGTAACTTAAAACATAGTTACAGTTGACAAAACGTCAAATTTTACTTCTGTCATTTTGACTAACGTCGTGCAATGATCGACGAAGGAATTATTATTCAAACTATTAATCAATCAGGTCAGTTTTCTTTACTTTTGCATGTCACACGTGTATTTTAGTTAAATTGCAACAACATGAATCGTTTTCAGGTGACGGCGTCAAGATCTGCAGGGTTTGCGGGAAATCTTCCGTTCCACTATCCGTCGTGACGCCGGATGACGATTGCTTTTTTAATGCGGAGGAGTGCATGCTTTATGAGGTATTTTTACGTATATTTTATTGTTCAGATCGAGCTCAATCTTATTTTATAGATTACGTCTACAGGGAAAAGCTTCTCTATTTGTGAGACGTGTGAATCTTTTATAATCCAATGTACAAACGGAATTATCAATCACTTAACGCGATCAAATGTTCGCAAAACAAAGAATTGCCGCTGTTGCTTCCTGTGTGGTACCATAAGAGATATAATAGAGTGGAAACTTGGTAACACAGAGACCGACTTTGCAGTTTTGGAACGCATAAGGCAACGATTTGGTTACGTACGTATACACTCTTTGATTCCACTTCTTTTCAAATGTTCCTCTTTGTAGAAAAATGAAAATGACAAGGTTATCTGCATGCCGTGTAGAGTAGGATTTCTGAATTTGTACCGAATTCATTCTGCAGTGAGAAAAACCGGGAAAAAGCATAGTGTGAGTAATATTTTCAGTTCATTTAATATGTTATCCACGTAATGCAAACCCATCAATCCCAATAACTCCTCAACAATAGGCATTTTGTTTGATAGTAGGGACTGTATAGTGAAATTACGGTAATTTTTAGTATTGTACAAACGCACTTCACGACCCGCAAGCAAGTGACGTCCATTCAGCAACACATGAGAGAGACGAAATTGGTTCCAATTTAAAAAATGATCGAATTTCGGATATCCATTCTGCTAACGATACCAAAACTAGAAAACACGTTAAATGTACACTAATAGATAATAGCACAGTTACCCCCGAAGAAGAAACGGTTGTCGGTAAGAACTCATGCGACGGCAAGTTGGCGCATTTGACTCCTGCTCATACTTTAGATGAGGAACAATTTGATTTTATTGGAAACAAAGCATTCAAGATTCCAGGCGAAGGTATAGTGGCAATCGGAATTAGAGTATAGTACAGTAGATTTATGTTTTAGCTGAGAAGAGCCAACACAAGAGAAATCTTACTGAATGTGGAGAAAACGATAGTGAACGCGACAAAAGTAGGTTTTTGAATTATTTTCTAAACACGTCGTTGTTTAGATAACAAATTTTTAGATCAGGTACAATTTCCTGTACAGGAGAAAGTGATACCATCCCCTGTAACTCCAAGAAAAGGTTGCCTCAAAACTGTAAATGCTAATTCTGCGTATGGTAGGTTTTTTTTTACAAAAACGCTGCAAACGTTTGTTTAAATTAGATCATTCTCCAGCGAATCTTTCTAAAGTTGGTGAATCGCCAAAGAGCGTGACCTGGGACGAATCCTATAACCGGATATATTTTTATCATCCAGAGCCAAGTACAAGCATGCCTCCAAAGGGCCTTGAGGAGGTAGATTCTCTAGAAGACTCTTACACTGACTATGATGCGGAGGAATCGGATAGCTCCTATGAGTTAAGCAGCTCTGAAGAAGAATTTTATTACTCGATTGCCGGCAAAGATAATAGAAATGCAAGAGTGCTCAGTAACGAATATAAATCAAAGAGTAAAGGTAACATCGAATATCATAGGAATAATGCGCTTGAAACTGAATCGTAGGTACTCCTCAAACACATGGAAGGCGTGCTGTTCTTAACCAACCAGTGATAACGCCTTCTAAATGTTGTACAGAAACGTGTCATTTATCTAATACCAGTAAGTGTTAGCCATAGTTCAAGTTAAACTATTGCTGGCCATTATTATCTTATTACAGATGAAGCTAATTTTGTGACGTGGCTCAGGAATGTGACTGAAGTATGGAAGGATATAAAAAATTGTTCATGTTCACATAACCAAGCCGGTGTAAGATGCATTCAGGGTACCGTATTATTGCTAAAATCTTAACGTAAATAACAGTTTCCCCTATATTTATCAGAACTGAATGCTGCAGGAGTTTCTGAAGATAGTGATAATGTGACCTTAAAGTACAGAACTCATGGACAGAAAAAATACTTTCATAGGTCGAAAAAACACATAAGCTTGTGTAGGAAGCAATCACAAACAGATTTAGTTCATTTAAAGGACCAATCTTGCAACACTGACACAAACATCTGTTCAGGTATTCCTTGCCTTTTGCTTTAAATGCACTCAATAGAATTTTTTAGACGTGGACCATTATCAAATGACTGGTGATATTGACAATGAGAAATATGTTAAAATTCCTTTAGTTAAAAGCACTCCCAACTTGTGTAGTGACACTTATTATTACATAAAACCAAATGCAAGAGAGTCTTACAAAGAATCAGTCCAGCTAACTCAACCAGATCCTGTACACTCTGCTCCGAAGACAAAGCATGTTGCTGACACCGATAAACTTTTACATCCAACTGAATTAAACATCCCCCAAACATCCACAAACCAACATCCAAAGATTAAAGAGCCTTTGCTAACAACTATCTTCAGTCGCTCTGGGAAAGTAACTCACAGTAAGTTTAGTTAAGGTAACCGGCACAGGAAAATACCCATGTTTTATAGGAGATCGACAAAATGGTGACATAAAAAATCAACTGCCTTCCGAAATTCTTTTGGAGCCAGAATTAAAAAACGAAGGATTTTTAGTTAAAAAAATCTCTCCACAAAGTACACAGTTAGAGGATCCACTCATTTCGAAAAGCAGTACAACTGACGCCAGGTGTAAGTCTAGGACTCAGCAGGGAAAAAGCATGGCTAGTGGCGACAATGAAACCCAATGTGATGTTCTTATTGAGAACTCAAACCGCCATACAATGAACGTATATGAAGATCTCGCACCGATTCTTGATTCAACCGATCAAAGAGTTGAAGGTAAGTGAAAGAAATAGATATTTGACAGTCAATTAACTTCCACAGCTCGAACGATTCCTGCGGATGATTTTAAGAAAAAAATACAAGAACGTCATGTAAAAGGCGATATTGACATACATCAGAAATTGGAAAGTCTTAAATGCAAACTAGCATATCCCAAAAATGAGGGTAAATGACAATTAAAGCATTAGAGACAGATAAATCATGGTAATTTACAGGTTCAACAATTCAAGGAAGTTGTGAAATGGCACAAGATACTAGTCGTGAGATGGAAATGGCAAATGTAAAAGAAGGCGACGTGGATACCATATCATCTGATTCAAACGATCCAAAACACAAGGGTGTGGTTCAACAATAGCAATATAGATCAGTAAATCGTTATAAAAAATTTCAGCTCAAAAATTATTCGAAGCCATAATAAAGAGCGGTATTCCTGAAAACGTAGAAGAAGAAGAGACCAGCTGCGAAATTTACTTGAAAGAGCTGTTAGCAGAAAGCCTGTCAGAGAAAGCGCCAAATAACAAACATAGTGACTCAAAACTTGTAACTGAGGATACGAAGGGTAATAGAGAATCATAATTGTAACCTTGTGAATTACTATTTTAACAGCTGAACCAATATGCGAAGTTAAAGATGACAGCCCAACATACGCAAGCGACACAAGTTGCGATGTTTCATTGGAACACGAAGCTATGCCAAACAAAATGGAAGAAGATAACCAGGATGACCTGAACGCAAAGGGTTGGTATTAAGTTTTTGTTATGAAATAATTTATTCCAATATTTTAGCTCAATCAATCATTTCCTTGTTGAATAAAATCCGGTCTTCATCTGATGTGGTTGTGGGTGAGTCAGGTGTGGGTGCGCCTGATGGTAGCCAAAATACAAATATTGAAAACACCATCCAAACATTATGTAATTTATACGTTACATGTGTAGCAGTTCTGGTCAATTTATTTTACAGATTCGCTGGTGTGCCAAATGCAAGCTTCCAATAACTCCAATGAGGAGGAGGAATGCAGGTCTCAGACAGAAGATTATTCTCAGGTGGATGATGATTGCACAGCATCTCAATGCAGCGACATGGATTACAGTGACGATTTAGTATTCCCTCACCAAACGGGTTTTCCAAAAGGTAATACATTACGCTACCCGAACGCAAAACACTATCTAAATGATTGTTCAGATTTGCAAATATAACTCGATATACAGTATGTTCCTTAAGTCAGTACTATTGCTAACTATTTTCTTATTGAAGCTATGATGTCGGTTAAATATAATCATTTATTATTATATTGGTCAAATCAGAACAACATTTGGGCATTGAGTCCTTAATAGATTCAACGAAATAACATTTTTTATGGAACTCTCAGCTGGATGAGTATTAGGCAATTACTCTAGTGAACTATCAGTGTTTTACTGTGAGCAGTTGACTATAAAGTAATATGTTATTGTCTTGAAGATCTAATGCTCGTTTTGCTGATGAGTCCACATCAGTAGAATGCAATGTATGACATAATTTCTAGGTCCCAACCGTCAATGATCCAATAAAAAATTGATGAAAAAATCAGATGACAAGTTTCGACTGAAAATTTATACCTATTTTTTACAAATTTGTTTAAATTTATTGTGAATAAAATATATATTTACCATTATTGCGTAATTCTATTTTTAGTAATAAAAACCATTGTTTATATACCTGTGATGTTCTGCACTAATAACCTTAACAGACCTATACAAAGACACCTATTTTTGGAATTGGAATTTTTGGAACCGAACTGGCCTTCAGTTTATTTGTAGAAAATGTGTGTTCTGGTTTCCTATACCAACCACATTTTTGTGACTGTTACACCCTATATAAGGCTAGGTTGTGATCAAAGTAAGGCAAAAATATCTTGTTCAAGTATCTAACAAACACAGCATGTTTGTATTAAAAATAAAATGTATGTACATAAGAAAAACAGTATTTTTCTTCAAATTATTTATTGACTCCAATCGTAGCATTAAAATAGTCATTCCAAATTTTTAAACTTTTAACTTAAAGAAGTGCTTTGCGATTATACATATTAAAAGACCAATGTGACAAAGCTAAGGAAAATCACTTTTATTTAAATAATCAGTTACCGATTCAACGTTTTGAAAAATAATATTTTTACAGTTCATTTGAAATAAGTAATGTGCACACATTTGAATGTTAGCTTTTCAATTGCCACATTTTGCAAAGCACGAAAGGCCTTCATTTTCAGTTGCAGCAAAATTCAACTGGCTCAAATTTCCATTAACAAAACTTCACTAGGTATTTATTAAACAGGTTTATTTTAAATAAACCAAACTTTTTACAAAAAAATAGCAATTGTTCTCAAATGTTTGTGAATCGATTGATTGGCATTATATGCGTTATGTTTTTGCAATATACAGTATCTATACATTTCTTATACAATAAATGGTGTTATTTAGTTAAAATTAATAAGGTCATTTATGCAACCGTAAGTGTATATTGTTTAATAAACGTTTGCAGTGAAAGCTGCAGAATTGCTTATTTAATAATATACTGTTCTCAGGAGACATCTATTGTTGTGTTGAAATAGAAACAGAATCAAATAGTGTGGCCAACAAAAGTATGTAACAACACACTAATACAATGTGACTGCACAAACAAAATACATATTGCCTGCTGCAGAGGGCTAACTTGTTATCCCTATATGCCACATGGTGTCTTTGCAAGCACATCACTAAAGTGAAAGTCAAGATCTAACATACAAGGTATTCAATATTAACTGCTCTAAAAAATGCATGGGAGAGGACTCTTTACAAAACAAATCTCAAAAACTTACTGCAACACCATCTGATATTTAGTGAAAGAAACAACTGTGACTATTCAGTTAGCTCCGCTACCAGTCGTATTTTATCTGTGCCAATTGAAGAGTAAGTGAAATTTCGTTCTGCTGCAACGTGCATCGTTATCGTGATGAAAACAAAGAGGACTATATAGAGTACTTATTAGCAATACGCTAGTTACTTAAGTTATATAATCTGGACGCCACGATCATTACAGACAGCTCTTTTAGTTGTCCTGCGGGTGGGTTCTCTGTGCCATTACGTATGTCTGCACTTAACTTAAAAGCCACTTACCACCTTAGTATAAACACACACTAGTCACCTCCACTAAATTAATGGTTACATTCTTCACTGTCATAATAAATAATTGTCTAAAACTACTCGAACGTGGTGTTGAACATGTTCAGATCTTCGAAGGAGGTGGCGCCACCTTGATCTAACATTTGTAGCATGTCGGACAGTTCGTGCGGTTGCGGTTGTGGCGGTGGTCCGGAGCCGCTTGAACCAGCGCCGCCCGAATCTGAACCCTGACTCGACCCCTGCCAAGTCCACTGATAAGGCGTCGGCGCCGTGCCCGATCTACTTCCGCCGCTCAGCTGGGTATACGTAGGACCCGGAGAACGTGGACTGGGTTGGTTGTATTGATAACCCTCGGGCGCAGGTTGCGTCTGTCTTAAGCTCCAAGGCGATGCTGCCGGTGTCGGACTGGTCGTGTTGCCCTTTGCCAGTCGACCAAGTACAGTGTTACTGGCATTTGCGCTTGCTTGGGAGGGGGAACCATACGCTATGGGTGATGCGGTCGGCTCATAACTGCTATATACATTTTGCCCGCTATTTGGACGCGTTACTTGTTGTGGTGCTAGAAAAAATTAAAAGTTATTCGACGTAAATTAAGAACAATCAAAAAATCATTAAGATGCCCAGGGTGTCCCAGAATAAATGCCGACTATCTATATCTCAAAACGAAGGACTTGGAATATTTTGAAAATTTGACAAGGAAAGGATTCATGTAAAAGATTTTTAATGGTGCCAATTTGCTTATTTTAAATGGAACACCATATTATTGTATTTTTAAACTGTACGTAAAATTCTATACACATTTCATGTAAAATGAAATTTAGACGCTTTTTACATTTTAATTTTTTTCTCAAAAATGGCATTTGCAGCCAAAATTGCCAATTTTTTTAGTGACTACTTGACCTCTAATCTACAGCTCATATAAATATAGTGCTAGAGAAATAATGAATCTGAATTTATGCAGGCGTACTCAACATGTTTTGCCTGAGAATCTACATACAGGGTGTCTCATGATGAATGCCAGCAACCTATCAAGGCAGCGGTAGATAAAGCGCCTCCGCCCCATAAATCTTAAATGTTTAAGATTTGACAATTTAATAGTCAATTTTCTAACTGGGAAGTAAAACTGAATTTCAAAGGCGCACAAGAATAGATTTATTATTAAAATAGCAGAAGCGTTAATTTTGATGAAATTGATTTAAATTGTTTCTATAACTTTTTGTTTATTTAGATAGATCAATAGAATATTGTTGCGCAACAAAATGGCGCAAACAACGCAACTGTTTAAAGAGGCGTATAATTCGTGCCAAATTTGGCATAAACAACATTGCGCAAAATCTACCATTTTACGAAAAATTTTAGTCTAAGATCTCAAAACCTAAGAAATGAAGAGAATTCACTTACTTTGGATATGTGTCGATGGAAGCATGTGTGAATATATTGCCGTATCGCGCCGTTGCAGGCTGTAATCCAATCCCGGTTGCTGATACGTGACTTGTTCTGTACTTTCCGTTGTAATATCCCCAGCATGTAGAGGTTTCGCCGTCATGTTCGTGCAGACGATGTATTCCACGTCGTCCGTGTAGGGATTCAGAAATGCATAAGCTGAAGTACGTAACCATACCCACTCTCTGTTTTTCGCCCGAAATCGGTACATAACGGACAGTACTTGACCTTTAAGTTTGAGAACTGAAAATTAATGGTTATAAGGGCGCCTGGTAGAAAAATACGCGAAATACCTTGCTCGAAACTATCTTTCATATGAGTCTGATCTTCTGGATGGAAGAATTCGAAACAGCTTTTACCTAATAATTCCGGGGGAGAATATCCTAAGAGGCCCAGAACCCTCTGGTCTACAAAACTAAACTTTCCGTCCATGGAATGCCTCGAGATAAACTCCGCTGTACTATTTGAGCCCGTCAGATCGCTCGTATTTGGCGTCGATGTTACCTGCAGCCTACCGATAGCGACTAAACAGCAATGCGACGCGTGGAGTTCCTCTTCGGTTTGACGGTCTATTTGGACCCCTGTAAACATATCTAATATTTTTATTAGTTAGATTAGTCTTAAAACTTAATTTCAATTTGTTGTATGGATTAAATTAGAGTGCTGCTATTTGTAATATCCTCAGTAAACAGTTCTAAGAGATGTTCGTGCTTCCTCCTACTGTCAACTGTTTCTCGCCTTATACTGCCTCATTATAGACGCTTCACACACAACCAGAATTACTGGCTCTCTTTGAGAAGTAATGCCCACTACAAGACAAAAAGCAAGACTAGTCTAGAAATGGCGAGTGTGAAGCGATTATAATGATGCTGTTTAAGTTCAGACCTACGTACTTTGACCAAACTCCTTGTTAGTACTTTAACTGGTCACTATTGACGGCGCAGAAAGTGTATTAGAGTCCAGTGTAAGGTGTAAAAAACCATTCAACCCCTCATTCAACAAATTTCAATGACTGTCCTGAAGTTAGCAATAGCATCTCCATGTACAGAATTGTGATCAAATTCTGCTTGTAAAGTTAGCAATAAAATTCCAGAAGGGGGGGGGGGGTAGCTTTATACAGTTGGTGCCAACCGCCAACCAGTGTTGATTAACCTCATAATCACATATTAGTCGTTTTCATTGCTTTTTAATAATCTGATTTAAACAATATTTTTTCGGAAACTACCAGAGATCACGAATTTGCGATCTTGATTCGAGATTTCATTCACTACTTATAGCTCTGGCAACTGAGCTAAGAAAAATCTAGATGATTAATGTGCGCATGCGCAATGCCAACTTTCTTATTTATGGACATATTGCTTTGAAATTTTAACTAAAGTAGTAAAGACAAACATGTCGCATATTGTAAACATCAGGTGTGCGCCTGTGCAGACTGTGCAATTTGTGGACACATTTCTTTGAAATTTTAACCATAGATGCTTGTAGTAAAGGTAAAAAACATAGTTCACATAGCTATGGTCTTTTGGGAAACGCTGATCAATGCATGGAAAATGCGCTAGTTTCTCGCTTTAGGACGAAAACCTTTTTTTAAAATTTAATTCTTTGGTATTAAGGCCAAGTTTTATTGAATTTTTATAATAATTTGCAGGGCTTGATGATGTTTTAAAATATATATATTTGGGTCGTTATATACAATTAGAATACCCTGGCTGTGTTTCAATAAAAGTTGCTTCTCACACCAAAAAAAAACTAGATTTTTGCACTGCGTATAATTAATTAGAATCAGCTACTTGCAGGTAACGTCAGAATAGCGTCGTTTAATCAAAAACGAAAAATCTGATAGAATTCTATTACCAACTTCACAAGCAGAATTTGATCACAATTCTGTGGATGGGGATGCTATTGCTAACTTCACAGCATTTTTGAATGGGCTTGATATCAAGTAACTTTAATTCTTTGTTGTTTTGGTATAACAAAAATTGTCACCTAAAATGAAGAAAACCAAGTTCATTCAAATCCGTCAAGCGGTTATTTTTCCCAACCAAACTCTAAGTCTACACTTTTTGGGTCGACACTAGTCCCCCACCCAGTTTTTTTACATACTTATCTTTTTACACCTTGTATTGATAGAATCTTTTAAAACTTTAAAGTGCCAAAAGTTTCAAATGGACTAGGAGCGTTGATTTGAGTTTTCTTTACCAGGAGATCAGTGTCCTTGAGAATGTACAGTTGCACTTGCTAAAATCTGAGCCAGTATATGGTAGATTTTTGTCAACTCCGCCGCCGTGAAAATCGGGGCAAATCGGTAAAAAAAACTTCCTTCAATTAAGAATTGTTGTACAATAAAGGAAAAAAATTAAACTTAACCAATTATTGCGCATGCGCAACCCAACTTTTCTATTTGCGTAATCCTATTCTTTTATTTGTGAAAATAATTAAATAATATTTTGTATGTAGACACATCGAGTAAAAGTAAAACTAATGCTGATTCAAAAAATTTGTTTTACAAGCTCTGTCGAGCTGGTGGTACAGAATCAAACCCCTTAGTGTGTTGTGAAAATGATGGATGCGTGAAGATCTCGAGGATAGTTCGAGGATAGTACTAAACTTACAAACTTTCTTAAAAGTATAGCATTAGTATCTACTGAATTCAACTAACATTCCTTTGGCAAAATAAAAAGCGCGCGGTAGTGCCACCGGGGCCTTCAAAGTCCTTTATTTTTTTAAATTTTTATTGAGTAAATTACCAATTACTTACATTCCTGAAAATTTGGGACCCCTGAGAATTATTTTAGGAATTATAGCCGACTTCCTAACAGTGACGTTACTTCGCGATTTAGACCACACGCACCGAACCAATTATGTTAAGGTACTTGGCGGGCGCAAAAGATTACTTTAAAATTACGCACACTAAATTTGTACATTTGGGAACTCTTTCTTGACTTTCTAATGACTCAAAACCAATAAAGGTGTTGTTTTTTGAAACTGGCAAATCCTCTCAGAAAGTGCTTACTGATCAATGAGCTACATCAGCTATTTGACAATATGTTTCTTTGGAAGAAAATGCGCGTACGTCGACTTCAAAGACTTCCCGCAAAGTATTGAAGAGAAATTCCCACCCTCCACACGCACACTTTGTCAATTTTTTAAGTCTAAGGTCAACATTTCTTAAAAAATATGACAGCAAATAGTGACCTTTAGAGGTCCAGAGGAGCCATTTTGAGATTTTACACATATCAAACTTTGCAGATCAACATTAGCATAAAATTAAAAACGAAATATTCACCTGTGGGTGGCCAATTCTTGATGTACCCAGTACAGTGCACGACAGCATAATTTTGTCCATCACGGCTAGGTCCGAGACTGTTTCGTTGCTTGAGCCTATTCAGGTGTCCCACATTCATACTTTCCGCAGAAATATTACCTACTTTCATCCTGCATATAAAACCTCTACGTGATCCCATGCATAAGCGCATTGAAGCTGCAACACGAACGAGGTTGGCGTCGATTAAACAATTTTTGGAACGCTTACTTACCTTGATGTCCCTCTTTTTTGACGGTTCCCGTTTTTAAATCCAGAATCCGTCCCGTGTTCTGCGGCTCCTGCGTCGACAGTTGCTCCCGTACCTTCTCCACATCTTCGGGGTGTAAATTGTCATATATGCAAGAACCGAACCAATCGTTTTGCGAATAATTTAACACTGGGGCTACAGAGTCCGAAACATAAATAACTCTGCCCGTATCACAGCTTACAACAAAGAGAAATCCATCGGCCGCCTCTAATATTAGGTGCTTTAATTCTTGATCCGTTAAGAATGATGGTTTGTACGTTCCATCTGTACTGGTATTGCCTGTACCTGGAAAGTTGATGTTACTATTGCCGTAAATTCTTTTGGTTCACATTTAACTTTAATGGCAAGGAAATTTCCACATATTTGTGATTTGACTAATGTATGTTCCAAATGGTGGCCCATATTTTCATGACAAGATGGAGAAGTTTTCGCACACGTGAATTTTTTACATGTAGAGTTAGGTCAGGGAAATTGGCAACACAGCCAGGAACAGGATTGACCAATCCGCTTTAACAGAGCAGTACCATTCAAGGTTCCAGATTTTTCAAATTTTTCTGCCGTCTTCCGCTTTAAAAGCAGGAGGCATAGTATGTCTATGTATAAGCAGGAAGTATGGCGAATCCTGCTTCTAATGTGTTACTGAGTTCATATCTTTGGAACGGATGATGCTGCTGAGCTGCAATAAAAAGCAGATCAGGAGATTGGGAGATGTTGCAAGGTATTGCCAAATTCCCGACCGAGTCACGGCTGAGTTCCTAGATGTGAAGTCGCGTTTTACAAAAAAATTATAAAATGCTCGTTTTTAAATTAACCTCTTTGAGTTACTGATATTATTTCAGTAATTAGAAAAGGGCGTTTTTTATTTCGGGAAATCAAAATGTGTCATTTTAACTATTTAACATTCAGAATTCCTCTTGTCCAATAGACAACGTACTAAAATTGGTTGCGAATTGGTCGGCCGATTTTTTATGAGGTTCTAAGTGGTATGGATGTAAAGTAGATTACGAAATGAATTCGTTTTTATACGCATTTTTGCATAGTTATGAATAAATAATAATTTCCAGTTTCACACATACACATACACAATCTGAATGTAGGAAGTACATTTTCAAAAATTCGTTGCAATCGGAACTAGTAATTTTGAAAAACCTTATCCCAGACAATTTAACCCGCTTCAAATAAAACGTATTTTATTAGGTCCTTCGCAACAGTTAAGGCGCACCAGTAACTGACAAAGACGTGTAATTTAAGGAAAATGAAAAAAGAACCATTAAATGGACGTCCTTTATGCGGATAAACGGATTTAGGTTATGTACATTTTTTTTCTGTTATTTAAATAATAATAAGAGCATTAATCGTATGCTTCCTTCGAGTTGGTGTCTTGTGGCCCATAACTAACTAGATAACATCAGCTTGCCTTTCCAAGTACGAGCGAAGCTACCGAGAGATACCATAAACAGACCACCGTTACGAACAACTATAGAGAATAACTACGCAAATAAAACAACGAACGTTAAAAAATCGACGAAATACACAACAATTTTGAATTATGGCATCATCGGTCAGCCACGGCCATATAACCTTTTAAATGTAGATGCACAATACATACTCGCGAAAATAATAAAATGCGCAGATCGTGACTAAATGTTATGCTACTTACAATCTCGTATAATACGTTAAACGTTACTATTCCAAAAAGGTATTACAATTTTGTTGCCTTCTTTTCTTCCCATTCAATCACGATCGATACAATTTTCGGCCTCCCCCAGGTAAAACTGTGGAGATGACGGTGTTATTGTCTAATTGTATGCATTTTTGAAGTTGAAATAGCGCACAATGATCACGAACAATGGCGGAATTAAAAAAAATTGCTACACGGTTATCGAGAACAAAATTCTGTAATGGAATCCCCTGTATATTTTCAGATATTTATTTCGAAAGTAACACATATTTGATATATTCGGCATCTGTTATGGTAAAGGACTTATCTGAGGGAACTTAAATGCTACACCGTGTATATAGTTTTAATGTCAATCGCAACATTTGATATAATTGTCGATACTTTGCATATGAAAGTTAATACTGGAAGTAAAATATTTCCTTAATCGGATTTCCGAGAGGAGAAATATACGAAGCGTACATCCAAGAAACAAGAGAGGAATAGGATTGATTCGGGACGTGGAATGTTACAACCCTCTGCTTCAAGGTGGAAAATGAGAAAACCCAAAAAGAACTAATTTGGCCTTTATTAGTGTCAGGAAAGCGAAATGGGGTGGATGTGGAGTAGAAAAATGAGAGCATTTCACTTTGTGGAAATAAACAAGTTGTAAATCAGCATATGCATGATTAAAGCGCATTTTTGGTAATACAGGTCAGTATTTTATTAGCGAAGTTTAAAATTATCGATCTCACGAGTAATTTTGGCTGCGTTAAATAATTAATTTTATTTAATTTCAATTGACGGTACGTCTTCATTTTGTAAAACAAATCGCAAAGTAAATAATAAGTTTTTATACTGGTAGCGCTATCTAACGGTAAAATTATAGTACCTCCGAAACCCACATCGAAATTATTTTCTTCAATTATCGATCTCACAAGTAATCTAACTCAAAATAGACTAGTGCCTGCACATCTACACTATAGTAGAAAGCTTTTAGTGAAAATTTGAATTCTCTAGCTATTGTAGTTGTGGAGATCTAACGCGGACAGTCGGCCTGCCAGCAATGACGAATATAATAGCGTATTTTTTTCAAAAATGCGCTAAAAACGCACAAATGGAGTGGGATTTATGGTTAATAAGAACGTACAGTCATCAAAGTAATAAAGGACTGTGATAGAATGATACCAATGAAAGTAGATGCGATACTAAGAACAATATTAGTCATCCAGGTATACATGCCGACAACGGATCATGACGATGAAGAAATAGAACAAGATACGAAGAATCGCATACGATTTTCAGGAGGGGACTTAAATCGCTATTTTTTTGTTATTTGCGACATTTTCAAATAACTACATGCGAAATTAGATTACTCACTAGTAGGCGGGGGACACTTTGTAACCCGAAGGCCCAATCTTCAAATGAGTATAACTTTTGCTTGGAAAGATATTTTAAAAAACTCGACAATTTTGTTCCTTAACTCAACAAATTTCGTGGAATTCTCTCCATTTTCGTTGTCCGTCCAAGAATTGCAGTGGAACTCTTTTTTCGAATTTTCAAAAACTAATTCCAGATTGGTCATTTTCTTATTCAAAAACCCCAAATACCAGATTTCGTCGAAATCAGAATTTTTTCGAATCCCAAGTAAGGGTGCGCCCTTTTGTGGTAGGAATTTAAAAAAAAATTCTCTAAATTGGATAGGGCATACCCGAAAACCTATTCAAAGACAAAGACCCATCTTTGTAACTGTTATGGTTATGGAAAACCAAATTTCACCACTTTTTTGGGGGTGGCTCCCAAAGTAAACACGTGGGACCCTCGGTTTATTTGGAAAAAGTGCTTGTCTTGATCACCCCTATCAGCTAATGTGTTTTACATGCGGTCATGTAACACCCTATATAATATACTATTTGGGGGCCCAAAGTCGACTACCCCTCGAAGACGCGCGCCTGGAAAAATGTGACTTAAACAAAATTCCGTCAGGCATGAGTTTTGAAAACAACCGGACAAAAACTGTAGAAGATAGGAAAAAACTGTAAAATCACCACGTTAGTATAACACGCTCAAAGATGCTTCTCAGATGTCGCCGGTGACAGCGAAATTAAAAGCTATCTTAAATGCGCTAAAAAAATTGTAGCCGGCCAGGAGCTGATAAAAGAAAATAAGAAAGAAATAAAAGCGTGGAATGGAACACCAAGGACGGAAGAAAGTGCGGAGAAAGATCGGGAGAGAATAAAAATGGGCAAAGAATGCATCGGTTTCAGCAAGATGACAAGAATAAAGAAACCTTGGATAACAACAACAAATCAGATGGAGGAAAGCTAAACATTTAAGGACAGACGAAGGAAAACGATTGTACAGAAAATACTGAGCTAAGCAAAAAAAGGGTAAGGCAGGAACAGCATGGTTTGAAAAGGGATGTAGCGATGCGAACAACTCCGTAGCTATTATGGCGACCATTCTGAGACTGCGTCCACTAGATCTCCACGTGAGAGAGCAAGTCAATCTGGCATCCCTGCCTCTAAAAATAAGGAGCTGTTGAATAACAGAGGTACTGAGATGGGGTAGGTGGAACATGATGTTAGATTATCGCCATGCAAAGGACAACCTCGTAGCCTGGCGCGTTTTTGCACAGGAATATCAAGAGAGAACCGAGGTTGCTCGTGGGCATATTTGCTGGGCACTGCAAACTAAACAAACACGTCACCGTATGGGTTTGGTAGAGTCATGTTACATAGACGATGGCACACAATGTCCCGTTCTAGTCCAACTGAGACGATCCATGTTGCTGGGGGTATCCTGGTACGATTAGAGCCGCCTTTCAGAATTCTTAGGTTCGTGGGATCGCTTGGGTGACGTTAAGGAATCGAGCTCTTTTCGATTCTCTCGTGAGGTAAATCGAGGTCTTGTACTTTTAGTACTGGATTTTACAAAAACAACAAATGATAATGAATCTGGATTCTGGTTTACAATATGAGGGTGGACAGATTCCACGCCTACCTAGGCCTCAATTCGGGCTCTTTTGACCACCTCCCTGACTGGAGTCGCTCGATGTCTATTAACCTAGCAGAGCAAGGTCAGCAGAACACAATCAAACACATTGCATAATTAGGTGCTAATTAAGTGCAATATTCCCGGATTAAATGCTCCTTTTCTTTAAACATTATTACATGTTTTGCCAGGTCCATATGAGCACTATCTCAAAAAACCAAGAAAATGATAAGTGAACTAACTATAATTAGGCGCTAATTAGGTGCTAATTAAGTGCCCTATCCTCGAATTAAATGCTCCTTTTTTTAAAAATTATTACATGTTCTGCCAGGTCCATATGAACTCATCAGAGCACTACCTCAAAAAACCAAGAAAATGAAAAGTGAACTAACTATAATTAGGTGGTAATTAAGTGCCCTATCCCCGAATTAAATGCTCCTTTTTTTTTAAAAAATCACATGTTCTGCCAGGGGATAGGGCACTTAATTAGCAGCTAATTATACTAAGTTCACTTTTCATTTTCTTGGTTTTTTGAGGTAGTGCTCTGCTGAGTTCATATGAACCCGGCAGAACATACCTATAACTTTTTAAAAAAAGGAGCATTTAATTCGGGAATAGGGCACTTAATTAGCAC